CATGACGGTAAAGGGGGGGGGGTGTGCAGCAGTCTATTCTCACCCCACACACATCTGGAGGGGCACAGCTCCCTATGCTTCCCTTGGGGATGTGCACAGTGGTGGGAGCGGCCCCCCAGACGAGCCACCAGCTCTGCCCTGCCCCAGCCCCACTTCCTCCCTCACTGTGGGGACCTTGATCTGCCCCCCGCCACGCCCCTTCCCCCCAACAGACTTACCAGCTGAACACTACTCTCCAAGCTGCCGGGCTGCATTTTTGGCTGCATGCATGTTGTGGCTGCACATGTGCATGTGGCATTTATTGGTGACATGAGCCAAAAAAAAGCTGATTGCTGATAATTTTAATCTTACTTTTATTGGTACCAATACAATATGGACCGATGTATCAGTACACCTATATTTACAAGACCTCTTGTTCACCTCTTTCCAAGATGTGTTATCATTTGCACAAGGTAGTTTTGCTCAGTCAAACTAAAAGTGTGTCCTTGTGCACATTTGAGATGTATATGCGTCTCAATTTTTCTTGCTTGCATTCTTAAACAAAAATGAGATCGTGATGCCAATGTCTTCATTTAGAAAAATGACCTGAATTCACAGTGGAGATAGAAAGCAGTAACTTCTTCTTTGAACACACATATGTTGTGACCAGTTGTTTTACCTTATGGAAGAAGGTGTCTGCCTTATGCCATGTCTGGGGTCTGAACATTATGAATTCTTCCCAGTATGCAAACTTTCAGGCATTCCAGATGCACTGTTTCACTAGTCCAGACAGCACCTCTGCCTTTCAGAGCAGAGAATGTATATTATTTATACTTTTCTCTCTGACGTTATTACCCTCACAACACTGGTGTTTTTGGTAGACAAATTTACATTAATTAACTGTTGCTAGTTGTTGTTTTTAAAACCCAAATAATGTTTATTATTTTCTTAAAGAGAAAACAAGGCTGAGAAAAGGAATACTAGGAATGCATAAAGCCATCATTTACAGATGCAGAATATTATTCCCTTTATACAACTAACTACAAAGCTAGAAATCAACATGTATTTTTGAAGTGCAGATACAGACAAAAGTTAGAAGATAAGGATAGTTGCATTAAATAATTACAGCTGTCTTGTACAAAGTCCAGTTACGGCCCTTAAGGGATTGACTTGTCCCATGGAGAGATGACATGCTTTCTTGAAGAAACTGAAGTATCTTTTAATCTGGAGCTAGAAGTATTAAAGGTGACCAGGAAAAGAGAAAAAATAGGTTATTGTTTCTTCTGCTTTATCAAACAACAACAGAAAACACAAAACAAAAAAGATTCTTCATACAGTTTTTCCTACTTTCCTTTACCTTAGAAATTCAGGCCTTGTATACGTTGTTTTTCTTGTCAACATTTTTTAGGTGATGACAATACCAATAAAGTTAGAATACCATGGGCCGCAAGGAAGTGAAACCCAAATAACTGAGGGGATGCAGTTTCCTTTGGATGTTTTAAAAACCACTTAGGCTCATTTTTCTTGTTTCCAATTAAATATGAGGGCAAAAAGATGTATTTGTTGAAGATCTACCACCCCATGCCTTAAATGATAGGAAAGATGACATTTCCAAGTTCTGCTTTTTCATGTTTGTATCTTTTTCCTGATGTATCTAATTTTAAAGCAAGCACAGTTATATTTATTTGGATAAATTACAAAGCAAGCAAAATAAAGTGAGCTGCTCAGTCACAAAGAAATAAAAAAAGAAGCACAAATTTATTTTTATTTTTCTTTGCTGGTTATAAACATATCTTTCAAAAAATGATCATTTAACAAATGAGCAAGTGTTTACTTTGAAATGTCTGTGAAAAGGGTTTCTTATATTTCTGTTGGTAACAAACGGTACAAATGAAACTATCTGGGCCAAGGCATTCTACCAGTTTGGCTGCAGTGTAAAATACCTACAGCCTATAGGCATGAACTTGGAATCTATCCTTTTGATTCCACAGATGGGTAAAAGCTGACTTCACTGCACAGTTCAGACATCCAGGACTTCATTTGCTTCCAGTGAATCTGTTAGGGCATTTCTTTTAAAACGTGTAAAATTACCTTTTTTTTTTTTTTTAAATTCTTGTGCCCCAGCCAGCCCCTCTGCTGCCCAACGCCACTACTTGGAGCCCGGGGCTGACCCCGTCCGAGGCTGCTGCCAGCCTGGGGCTGTTCTGCCTCAGCTCAAAATGCTGCTGTTCCAGGCACACGTACAGACACTGCATCTGGGAGCAGTGTACTCTGGCACAAACTGCTGCAGAGTTTATCATGTCACATTAATTGTATGTGTAGATGCACCCACAGTGAACACTGTGCCAAAACTCCCATTTCCTTGAAAGAATGGAAGACCATATCCTGGGTATTGTCACATCTCTAAAACAAAAATGAGCCATAAATTGTTCTCAGGATGAGGAATGGCATAAGTCTGTTGTTCTCTTAGCATTTTAAAAATTTAATCAGCTTTCCAACCATCAGGGTTCAAAACCAGTGAGCCTTGCTCTTTGAGAGTTTCTAGTCTATATCAATCATAAATTCACAGAGTTGAAGGCCAGCAGGATCTATTAAATCATCTAATCTGACCTCCTACCTAGAACAAACCATTCAATTTTACCTAGTTATCCCTGTATCAAGCTCAACAATTTGTGTTTGACTAAATGATATCTTTCAAAATTATAAGATAATAAGGAAGCATATTTGAAGGAATAGTTCCTCTCTCCTCTGGGCTGGTTTTGCTAATAACAGGAGTAATACTTAGATGTCACAAGCCATTTTCAAGGTTCATTGACCTCCTCAGCTCTGTTTTTTTTTTTTCAAGTCATCTTTAAAAATCTTCCTTTAAAATGTTTCCTTTGCCTTCCCATTTTTAGCCATTCCTTCTTACTACCAAGTTAAAGAGCACACTCATTTGTTCCTGTTGCAGAACTACTGATTTCTTGTTAAGAACAAAATCTCAAGTAAAAATAGAGGTCACGCAGGGCACATCTACACATACAATTAATGTGCCTGAATAAACTCCAGCACATTTCACTCTGGAGTTTATTGTTCCCAGGTACAGTGTTTACACATGAATCCAGGACTGCAGCACATTAAGCCAGGGTGGTACAGCCCTGGCTGGCAGGTGGCTTCAGGGATCAGCCTGCCAGCTTGAAGTTGCTCTGCCCTGGCTCAATGTGCTGAAGAGGGGCTGGTTGGGGCATAAGGGTGCTACCATGTGGGGCTGGCTGGCTGGCAGGCAGCTCCTACACTGTAGCACCCTTGTGCCCCAACCAGCTCCAGTCACCATCTATACATGCGTTGCAGTGCAGTAAATAACTCCACTGTAGTTACTTGCATCAGGCAATACTAACCTATGGCAGAGTTAATTAGTTTACTCCAGACTAATAGCTCTGCATGTGTAAATGGTGATACTTTACTGTGGGGTTAATTAGGGAACTCTTTAGTAAGCATCTCTTGTAGATGCCCCCGCAGTGTACTAAAGAGTATAGCTTAGCAGAAATATCACAATTTTCTACATTAGATGTATTAACAATGAAACTTCAGAAAGGGGCTTAAGTCAAGGAGAAGGTAGAGCAGGGAGTTTCTAAAGTGCCAACCTGCCTTTCCATCTGCAGTGAAACATAAGTAACACTAGGTTTTCCTGACACCTGATCCCCACCTGAATGAAAAGGCAAAGGGCAGACTTGGAGACTCATCCATGAACTTTAAGAATAAATGTATATATAATTTTTCTCAACATCTTTTAAAACTTGTTGTGTCCACAGCTGATTACAAAGAGAGTTTTAACACCATTGGGAATATTGAGGAAATTGCATACAATGCTGTGTCCTTTACTTGGGATGTCAATGAAGAAGCGAAGGTAGGTTATACATGGAGTGAATTGTATTTTTAATGGCATTTATTTATAAATACTACCTCTCCCATCCACCCCATTCTCTTCCTTAATTAACACAAGACAGTTGTGCAGAAGTGAGCAAATTTCATTTTTTCAAAGGTAGCCCAGGTGACTTGAGGTATGCTTATGGAATCTTTTTAAGGCAAAATGGTATATGACAGGGGCAGGCAAAATACAGCTTGCCAGGCCATTCTATGTGGACTGCGGGACCCATAAAAAATTTAGAAAATTAATATTTATCTGCTCCTGGCTGCTTGTCAATGATGACAGGATCCAGGGGCAGCAGGACCCAGACGAAGCTGGCAGCAGGACCCTGCAGCAAGGCCTGCCTAGCCCTGCCCCCCCAGGCCCCTCCAACCAGAACCCCCTGCCTAGCAGAAGCTTCTGGCCTAGGAGTGTCAGGCTGTTCCTGCGTCCCTGCACCGGAGAGGGAAATTCAGGTAAGAACATGGGGGGGAGGGGGAGGCAGGGGGAATGGAGACAGGGGACGATCATGGGATATCACCCCAGTCCTTGGGTACAGGCTGCCTCATGCTGAGTCCTGTGGTCACAGCCATGCAGCAGGGACCATGTGGTGCCAGAGCACTGCAGTGACAGGCAGGAAAGTGTGGGGTGGGGGGAGTGGCAGTGAGTGGGTGCATGGGAACGCAGTGACAGCTGGGTGGGAGTGTGGGGCTCCACACCAGTCTCCTGGCACCAGTCTCCTGGGGCCAGTGCCAGTGGTGCTCAGAGTGGGGTGACAGGAGCATGGGGTGCGGGCTGGAAGGGGTCTGTGGAGCCAGGCTGGGCTGTGCCAGCAGGGAGAGAGGGGAGACCGCCCGGCTCCATAGAGCCCCTGCTGGATGGGACCCCACACTCTTGTTGCCCATTCTGGGCCCTGTCAGCGTGGGCCCTGGGACACTGGCATGGGCCCTGAGCTCCTGCCCAGCTGTCACTGTGCTATCACATGCCCGCTCGCTCCCACTCTCCCTCACCTGCCACCACTTTCAGTGCATCCCTGCCTGCCAGCCAGATGCTCCTGCACCACATAACTCCTGGCTGCATGGCCAGATTGTGGAAGCATGGGGCCTGCACCAGTACCCCGGGGCCAGGAGCAGGAGGGTGTGTGTGTGTGAATGCGCATGCGTCTGTGCAATGAGGGCAGGAGCGGGGGAGAAAGAGAGAGCAATAAGGGAGGGACAGCATGTGTGTGTGTGCGCACGCACATGCGTGGGCAGTGAGTGAGTGAGTTCGTAGAGCAAGTCCCACACACACACCCCACCATATACATGCACCCACACCCCTCTTTCACTGCTATACATGCAAATCCCAGCTGCCCTCCCCCCACATTCCCCCCACAAACCCCATACCCACTCACACCCCACATATCCACACACACACCCACATGCTCTGTCACCCCACACCTACCCTCCCCCACATACCCACACATGCACAGACTCCCACAAACCTATACCCCCCCCATGCCTCCACAATAGACCAAGAATAAGACTTCATTACTATTGTGAAATCTTCTCTATGTGCATGACACAAACAAATGTAAATCAGGGCAAAAATATATTTTGAAATCAAATTAATGTTGTAGATGTTCGAGTTTTAGAATATAATTTGGTATTTTTCTGGTTCTGAGATAGCAAAACCCCTTGTTGAAAGTAGCCCTTCCAGGGGCAAGGGGAGGGCAAAGATCAGGGGTTAGGAGGTGGGACTTCCAGTCACAAGATGGCAACTAAGGGGCGGGTCAGCTGTCAAGGGGTGGGGCTACCCATGCAGCCCTCTGCCCAAAATAATTGCCCACCCCTGGTGTATGAAAACAGGGGCCCACCAAAATAAAGCTCTTGGGCAAGTGTTTCAAACTGAGCCAGGTTCCTGCCTAATAAAGGGAGATTAATCATTGGAAGTACATTGCAAAATAGTGTAGTGGGGTTCCATATTTATTGTCTTTCAATGGTTTCTATTTGAATAGGTCAATTTTATAAAGTGTGTGTGTTAAGAGTCAAACCTATAAGGTGACAAATGTGATCCAAGCTGAACTCTTCCTTTCTTCTTCTTCATCATCATCATCAATAGTAAATATTATGCGAGCCAAATGATGCTGTTAGTGACTTGTGTCATTGTTTTCAATGGGGTTGTATATATTGATGTTGTGGCTGGAGCTAAGTATCAAACTAGAGCTGGTAAATTTTATTTTTCATTGCCTAGGTGATTTCACGTATTTTCCCATTCAATTAAAAATGCAGTTCCCTTGCAGCTATTCTAGATAAGAAAGGTCCAGATTCCAGGAACAATTTTAACTCTCATAATTTAGTTATGGAGATACAATTCATCACACAGAACTGAGGAGATTGCTATGGACAGCTAGCTAGGCTCTACAAAGCTATCTAACTCCCACCTATTAATGCTTAGCTAGATTTAAATTGATAATTTCCAGGTTTTTCTTATTTTTGTATCAGCATCCAAATCATTGCATTAAGTTGGTACAGATGCAGTGAAAAATAGCTGGTTAAAACAAGCTTGTGTTCTCTGACCTTATACTAACAAGGAAAAAATACATTGTAAAATCAGTATTGGTATTGCAGGCTTTTCAGAAATAATAACTAGTGAATGATCTCAAGGCTCACTGGATAACAGGAACCAGCTTCATGTTAAATATCACCAGCATTCAGGTACACCATAGGGTCAACAAATCCAGAAGATGAATTACACTCATAACAAAGCTCACCAATATATCCCTATTACACTGAGGTTATACTTGCAGCAGGTGACATTCAATGATGACAGACTTGACTGTCGCTATCCTGCCTCCTTTTAAATTGAATTCGAATCCTGACATTTATTACTGAATTTTGTATTTAATTCAAATTATAGAGAAAGAAAATGCAATAAGCATATCTTTAAACATGCATGGCAGGAAGCGTGATTGTAGGATCGCAAATCAGATCCTATCACACCTTACTGCTGGTTCAGGGCAAGCCCAATCTTGGGCTCCCCACTCAAATGGCAAGAAGCAAGCTCCTGCATCTGGGAGCCCCCTCAGTTGATGGAGCTCCAAGCTGCAGGTGCTCTCCATTCAGCCCCACAGCTGGGAGACCTCATCTGCTGTGAACTCCCAGCTGTGGGAATGCACCATGCACCGTTACAGCTGAAAGACCAAGTGCTGCGATTTCCCAGCCTTGGGTGGGTGCATGCCCCTGTGCGGCTGGGATCCCTGTCAGTTGGAAGCTCCCAGGCTTGGGGGTGCAGATGGGCCCCACACAGGTGGGAACTTCAATCAGTTGATGGGGCTCCCAGCCTAGAGGCCCCTATCCACACATTCAATTAATGGTGCTATAGGAAGCAGCTACAAAGTTGTTATGCATATTTTGTGGAGTAACTTTGTAGCTTATTCCTTTTTATCATACCATTACTTGATTGAACATGTGGCTTAGTGACCACTTAATGTGATTAACTAGTGATTAAGTAGTTAATCACACCTGAAGTGTGTCGATGGGGTCCTAGATACTGCTCATCCATCTGGAAATGAATGCTTCTGACACCCAGCATCCTCTCCACCCCAAAATTGTTTCTGATCCCCCACAAAAACATCAATTAAACAACTTGCAGCTCCTCCCAGCTCCCCCTACAAATGAATTTTGCCCACCTTAGCTCTTCCCCTGCAGCTCCTCCTCTTCCTGCTTCCATGGATCTCTTGAAAAGGAGCTTGTACACCCCCTCTTCCATTCTGCTTCTTACTTTACCTTTCAACAGGCAGCAGGAACCCTTTCAGCTCCCCAGGTCACATGTTTCCTTGGTCTTTACCTTTACCTTTCTCACTTGGTTACAGGCTTTACTCACCAACTTAGAAGTCTCATCATATCTCGTCTTCCCTTAACCAAGGTATCAGGCCTTCCTGCTCCTTTTCTTCTGGCTAATTGGCCCCTACTTGCTGCATCCTTGAAGTCACAGGCTGGCTATCTCCTCATTCTCTGCAACTTCAACTCTTCCTTTCTTCTGTTCCCAGTCCTGTCCTTGAGGTAGGTACAGGGCCCTACACTAAGGATGTTTTGACTCTGGCTGGTTTGCTGTCCCAAAGCAGACTTAGAAAAGTAGCCTGCATATGTATGCAGCTCTCAGCCTTGTGTTGTTAGAGGGAGAAATTTTCTTATGGGCTAGACTTCCATTCACCTGATTGGTCTTTTCCTCCTTTGGCTGCATTGAAAGGCTGCCCCATTGCTGTTGTCTCCATCATGCTGCTAGAAAATAGAGAACCCTAATAGCAATTTGTTTAGTAAGTGAAAGAGGGGGTTAAAAACCCATTAGTCCCACATAACCAGTGTCACTGACTCTCACAATTTTATCCTGATTCTTGTAATATTTGGTGTGGTTCTTGCACCTCTGGCTTTTGGAAGCATGTGAATACTTGAACATCTCAGCTTTCACTGTTTTTTTTTAAAGCAGGTTTCTTATTTGTGTGTGTGTGTGTAAGATTTCAAAAGGAACTGGTCATTTGCTAATGCCCAGAAATAGGAATTCTCACAAGATCCCACTGAGTTATTTGAAAGCCACAGACTTGAAGTCTTGTAATTAAAAGCTGTTTTTTTTTTCCCTCGGTACTTACCTCATTCAAGGGAGCTGGAGAACTTCAAGCCCTAATTACAGACTCTCCTTTCTTAAAATTTTTGAAGAATAGTCTTTAAACTGACTCCATTGTTTCTCCCCAGTGTTGTTTTCCCCCCTTTCACCACAATTTCAAGATTAAAACTAACCTCACAAACACAAAGGCCTCTTTCATTTGAGTCGAACAGAATGCTCCAAAGAGGAGTTGTTTCTTGGGCTTCAGAGATGCTACTTGAAGCCTTCTACTGAGGAGGAGGAAAAAAATAATTCTTTGTGCTCCTTCAGCAGTTCCAGTTTTCTTTTCTTTTCTTGTTTTAAAATCATATCTGATGCTTTTCCCAGCATCAAGACAGCACTACCTCCAAAATCAGATC